GGCCCTGAGGCGCCTGGTCCAGAAAGGCATCAGCTGCACCTATGTTCTTATCTCTGCTGTCTCTTACATCCTTCCAGAGGTAATCATGGAGCTACACTAGAGTAAACCCCAAAATATTTGGTTCTAAGCATAATGAGTTTCTTTATTCTCTTCTAGGTGTCAAAGGTTTTCCTTGGTGCTCATGCTCTGCTGGCTAATGGTTACGTCATGTCTCGAGTGGGGACATCACAGATAGCTCTGGTGGCCAAAGCTTTTAATGTGCCTGTGCTGGTGTGTTGTGAGACCTACAAGTTCTGCGACAGGGTGCAGACAGATTCCTTTGTATCTAATGAACTCGGTATGGAAAGTGTTCAGTGGCTACATAAATGTCTGCGAGCCTTTCAGCTCAATTTGTCCTTTGGCTCAACTTTATTTCCATACACCAGTTTATCCTCATCTTTGCTTTCCAGATGACCCCGACGACCTCATTGTAACCCGTAAAGGAACAACTCCGCTGGAGGGATGGCAGAACGAGTCCTCTCTCGGCCTTCTTAACCTGGTCTACGACGTGACGCCGCCTGATTTCGTAGATCTAGTCATCACAGAGCTCGGGATGATCCCGTGTACCTCTGTCCCTGTGGTGCTGCGAGTCAAAAACGTGGACCAGTGAACAACTCAGTTTGTGTGCACAAGAGCTTGTACACACACAACAAATTGTGCTTTTAGCATGCAATAAATATATATCTGAAGTGACATATGCTTTTTAAATTGAGTCCATGTGTGTTTTTATGGTAGTATTGGATGAATGGAAATATTTCCTGGCCTAATGTGACAAGGCTGTTCTGTTTATTTAAAAAAAAAAAGTAGTGCTAGATGTTATAAGATCCACTGTTTATTAGAAACAGAACATTTAATTGCCAATACAATCCCACTGAGCGTCACAACACTAGTTATTAACCATGGCATGCAATTTGAAACAAGACAGAATTTTTTCCTAATTACAGTTGGAGTTGAAGCATCAGATAAATGTTATGGCTCCCATAAAGTTAGGTTTAATGACACAAAAGAAAAGTAAGACATTAACCAGGTACTACAGTTTTTGGTAAAGCAGCTAGGAGGTTATGTTCTCACTGCTCATATATCGTCACCAAGTTCAGTTAAAACCAGGAGAAATATTCTGCATGCTGTAGATGCACTCTCTCCTTACAAGAATTATTTATTAGTTGCAATATTTAGTCAGTGCATTAACATTCAGACAACTTATTTAGCCAGAAGCAATGTATTGAACATAGAGCAACTAGAGCTGCCCTTCAACACTGAATTTTCCCAATGGGAGAACAACATTTTAACAGCTAGAAAATCAGTTAATGTACAATTAAATCCTGTATATGCATAATGTAAACATGATACTCGAAGCATAGAAACAGATATCCTGTTTTAAAATCTTTAGTAGAACCCTGAATCTCACTGGAGAAGAGTATCAACGGAGGTTACCCTTGAATCTCAAGACATTTAGCACATGTGGCCTATAAACAAAATGTGGCTGTACCAGACAAGTATCTTCCACATTTTGTGTTTTGTCTGAAATTGAAATTAAAGATGTAAATAAAAACATCACACTTCAAAAAGAGGTTTGTTGCAAAAGAAAGGATTTTGTGTCGCTCAACTGCACAGAAAAAAAATAAAGAATTTAACCTATTGGACTATTAAAATAATTTTTAAAGATGTCAAATAAGCTTGCACTCTTAATTATTACTGTTAAAATTTATATCAAAACAAACTTAGTCTTTGCTGTCAGTAAAGTGGAAATTCAGCACGTCTGCCCAGACAGGTTTTAGGACAGAAATCAGTATTTGTGTAAGTGCACATAGTTTCTGAAGGATTTTGTAAAACACAGTGTTTTCCCTTCTATCACATGGTGTCAGTCAAATACATTTACAAATATAATTGATGTGCTAATAGTGGTTATTTGTGACAAAAATATTTGAAAGGCAGAGCAAATCTTTTCTTTAAAATTGCACTAAAACATCTTTGAGGTCAAACGTGTAAATTTCCTTGAAACAAAAAAATACAACCGACCTCAAAAAGGTGTAAAATGAATAAAAACACATTTAAAAGAAGCCCTGTAAAAGTCCCCTCAGACTTTGTCAGCATTTTCCCCCTATCAGTATCTTCCCTTTAAGAACAGTCAGTTTGAGATTAAAACCAGCTGACTAAGGTTCAGCTTTAGAGTGATTTGGCTTTACGTCTCTGGGTGGCCCACAGAAGAACCGAGATCACAACCGTAGAAGCTGCAAGAGGTCCAAAGACTTGCAGAGCTGGGAACTCCCCCTATGGACAGTTTTAACAAATGCACAACTTTAAATAATCGAAAAGCTTAGCATCAAAAGGTGATTTGTATTAAGCTGCTTGCAGAACCAACCTCTCGAAGACACTTGTATCCACGGAAGTTTTCAGCGCAGCTGCACTCAAAGAAGCCTGGGCCGAAGGGGGCACAGAGGGAGTTCTCTGGACAGTTCATTGCTGTGGATTACCAACAAGTATGAATAGATGTCACATGTAACATATATAACTGTAGTTTTAGATGGCATGTGTCACAGCAAAAGTTAGGAACTTACACAGTTGTCCAGTCTCGTTGCATATATTCCTTTGGCCTTCACAATGGCGATTTCCCTCTTTGATTTTAACCTTTTCCCAAGACGTGTTGCTTCCCGGACAATCTATATTTTGTGGTAAAATCCTACAGAGAAATTAAGTTAGAAAAAAAAATCTCAATCTAATACTGAGGAGAATCTGTCATAATTTGGGTAAAATACTTACATGTAGTTTAACTTATTAAATCCTTGAAAAGCTGTATCACTGATGTTGACAATGGGATTGAACGAGAGGTCTCTGTAATATAAACATTTATAGGATGCATTTAAAAGAGCGACCACATAGATAAAAACACTAGTACTTTCTAGTACAACTATCAGTCATCCAGTCACACTGCACTTGTATCTATGACTAAACACTTTGTCTAACTTTGATACATCTTGCCCAAGGATACTTCAATATATGAACCATTTGGTAGAGAAATTGCTCAACCACAGCCGCCCTGTGTCTTCCTTATTTGCTTCAGCTATATTTATTTTTTGTGAAGTTAAATCATTTTAGTGCTTGCCAGAAGGGGAGATAAAAAACTTTCCTAAACTCCTGCTGCTCAAGAATGCTTTTATCAACATGAAGATCATTCTGAGGAATCGCCTGCACATGTGTCATTTGTCTTTCTCGGTACACCAATACAGGCTTTTACTACAATTTTTCATGTTAAATGTAAACTGTGGAGTAGCGATAAGAGCAGTTATTTCCTTTTGAATTGAAAATAACCTTTCAATCAAAGAAAAAGCATGTGTAAGCAGGAGCTTCTGTTGTTTTGCGTGCAGACGAGAGGATTATTTGTGCAAAAAAAGATGTGAAACTGTATTTACTGTTCTTACATCATGAAAGCTGTTGATGCTCCCTGAAGATCCTGCACACAAGTTAGTGAACAGTTGGACAGATCCAACCTGACAAACAAAAAACACAAATAAAGTTCAGATAATGAAGAACTTCTTCTTTCAGCTGCACTCTTTAGGGGTCACTACCAAATCTGCCTCCATCTCACCCTATCCCTAGCATCCTTCTCTACCAACTGTGCATGTGCTTCTACATTACATCCATGAATCATTTCTGTGGTCTTCCTCTTTTTATTCTGCCTGCCAGATCCACATTCAACACCCTTTGTCCAATATATCCCACTATCCAAACCATCTCAGCTTTGCCTCTCTAACTGTGTCTCCAAAAAAACCAAATTGAGCTGTACTTCCTAATGAAAATGCTAGCACTGCCAATTCTGCCACCTCCAGCTCAGCCTCCTGTCTGTTAGTGATATTATGAAGACAAAACCTTTCCCACAAGTTAATACACAGTCAGCACTGGAAGTCACTAGAAAGAAAAATACATTTACATTTTCTTTTTTTTAACAGTTATTCACAAAAGAGCTTAACAAATCTTAGCTTGGGTGTAAATTCTGTTTCCGACGGACCCTGAAAGCAGCAAATCCTACCCGATGATGTGTTCAGGGTCGTTTGTGGTGTCATTTCTCAAACAGCAACGTCCGTCTATCCGTCCAGCGGATAAGAAGCAAAAGTGACCGACCTCAGAGCTGTTTAGGATGGTCCCGCCACACAGGTTACATACCTGTGGTTACACGTAATAATAAAGAGAGGGGGGGGGGACACCTGTAAACAACAATCTTGCTGGCCATTTCCTTTCTGGCACATACAGCTACACCAGAACCTGTTGTATTATTAGTAATATATATATGCGCCACAGAGTTATTGAAGTAAAGACTACAGTTATTGAATTTAGAAAGCCCAGCCTTACCTGCAGCTCGGTCAGCTGATAACTTGCTTGGAAAAATAAATTATAGATCAAAACAAGCGCCACAAATCTCATACAGCTACATAAAGCTTTCATTTTTAGCAACTGGAGTCACATGATCAGGCCGCAGCAGGGCACGTGACAGGAAGCGGGTTCAGCATTTTATGACGTTTGCAGAATTTTATGGGATTTTAACTAACATTACCTGCTTCTGTACGCTCTCTGTTACACACGATCACAAACAATAGTATAAAAATATGCCGTAAGCATTTCTAGCTGTAGAAAAAAGGTCAAATAAGAAATATTACAAAATACAAAATATTTTTAATATTCAAAACATTTGAAGTAGTTTTTCAGGTCTTTGAATATTTTTTTAAATATAACGTTTAACTGTCTGTGTTGTAAAACTAGCGGAAAAAAAGCATTTTTGACTAATGAATTTTGACTGCGCGTTCACTGTCAGTTCGGATTGGACCAACTAACGGATTGGATCAAATAACGTGCGGACTTCAAGTAAAACTAATTCTAATACAGAAAATACCCTTTGTGTTATGTTTACAAAATATTGTGCCATAAAGTAAAATAACTGTATGTCTTGGGGTGAATTTGTGTTATTTTAATTGCATAAACTGCAGTATACACCCGTGTGCCGACGATAAGATGGTTTGACCCAAAACCTTGCTCGGCCAATACGTACGCTGAACACAGAGTGGCTGGACGGTGGGGTAGCCTCTGGTTTCTTACGCGATATTTGCAACATTTGCTCTATGTATATACCTTGTCGCTGTTTAAACTTTTTTCAGCAAAGGTAGGACGTCGGGAAAGCAGAAAACGTTCAAGTAAAACTGTCCGCTCACATATTTCGAAAGGTTTACCATACGGGCTGTGCGGCGCTCTTGGGCTTGCAAGAACCAACTGCACCTTTTATCCAGCAACTTCATCTGGTTACGCTAATGAACTCAATCGACTGCACAGCTTGAAACTGAGTTTTGGGGGTTTTTGGTTTTTAACAAATAGGTGATTTTAAAGGTTTTCTTACAACTTGCCTAAAGTGAGTTAATAGGATATTGTAATGCTAACAGTGAAGGTGTAATTACACTTGCAACATGGCTGCTACTCGAACGGCAGAAGGAAAAGTTTAACACTGACGTGGGAGAAGTTTAACGTCAGTGCGACTTGGTACGCGAGTTGTTGTCCACATAATAAAGTCGTAAGCAGTCGCCCCGTAGTCCGGCAACAGTATCCCCCCGGACTCTCAAACCAGTGGCTGAACCGAGAGAGAGACGCCTCCTCCTCCTCTTCGTCGTCCTCCTCCTCCTCCTCCGTAGTCACCGACGTTAGTCACTGCAGTGGACTTTGTGGGGAAACTGTGGTGTCCTCTCCATCGCAGACTGTGGTGGCGTTAAAGGACTTATCATCTGGGAGCTGCTTGTGTTTCGAGCTAAGATGCATTTTTCCATACCCGACACAGAGGTTCGTTCGGGAGAAAACGGTTCGACCTACGTGGTAAGCACGACGTTGTGTCTTTCTTTTTTTGTTGTTGTTGTTGTACCCGCTTTAACCACAGACTGTGTTAATGCTTGTTTCAGCTGCCCACATGTCGAGCTAATGTCAGTGCGGCACGGGCTCCAGTGTTTACTGTGCACAAATTATTGGGAAGGCGGAACTGCTGGGTTATAAATCAGCTATAAACATTACTGTGTAATCATGCCATTGATGCTTTGCATAGGTGAATAAAAACTTGATTTGTTGTATTAAAATTTGAGCAAATTGGGCAAAAATTATTTTAGCATGATTGTTTGAGACATCAACAGAAAAGTAATGTGGCTTTTATCCTGTTCAACACAGTTTCTGCCATTTTACCTTCATCTGGCGGAGAAAATTAGTTCCACAGTATAAACATATAGCATCATTATGCCATGTCTGAAGTTTAACACACTGTGATTTACCCATAAAGCTTTATGCACAAACTTGCATGTGTCCCAGTCTCTTTATAGCCTCAAATCAGCCACAACAAAGTCTCTTTTGTTTTAAAGGTTTGAGCCAGTACCTAAATTCTTAGTGAGATTTGAGGTTTGCTTACCATGATGTTGCCATCTCCCGTGTTATTTAGAAAAAGAGAATACAGCCAGCATTGCTTTAACTTCATCCCTTAACTAGCAGTTATATATATCAGTCTAAACTATGGTAGTCTTCAAAGCACATTGGGAGCTTCAGCATAATCTTTATGTTTATTTTCTTCTTTCTGTTTCTTATTGTGTTTAATGTTGTTTGAAACATGAATTACCATTGTGCTTTGCTGTGTTCTGAAGGTAGCCTTTGTGAAGGTTGATCAAGGACAGCAGTAATAGCACCATTTTCTTTGCTATTTATGAAAAACCCAGTGACTGACAGTCAGGATACATTGTATTAATGTTTGCCAGATGTAGTGTTTATTTCTCAAAGTTTGCGTCAACTCAAAAGATTTCTTCCTTGTGTTGCTTGATTACTTGGACAGAGACGATAAATATGATCTATTGGTGATTGCAAGTTGCCAGAAAACTGCTTGGGTTCAAGTTGAGATGGATAATGATTTTAAAGATGTCATTATGAATTGTGCTTCCATTCCTGATCCATTTTCTTATTTGTTCCTAGCAGTAGGCCTTTGCAGGTTTATGGCATAAGTACAACAGTTTCATTACTTCTGAACACAGAGTAGAAAAAAGGTTTGCATCTGACTCAGATGTGCAAGAGCTCCACTGCCACGAGTGGGACGTCATTGTTTAGCAATGTGCGACTGTCAGAAAACCTTGCCAGCACTGATGAATGGAACTGGAAAGCTCAGAGCTCTGATGGATCAGATCATTTGGAACCTGTTCTCAGTTCCCAAGTTTGCTTCTCCTCATGTGTTGATGTCGTGCAACAAATAATTAATAATTCAGGATTTTTATAGAAAACAGTGTCTATAGTATTTATTAAAAGTGTTTTTGTGTCAGGTCCCTTTGTCCTGTGTGTGTGTGTGTGTGTGTGTCTGTGTGTGTGTGTGTACTTAAAAAACACAAACACTGCATCATCTGATTTTAATCTAACATTACTCTGGCTGCTCTCAGTGTCATACACCTGTAAATGAGTATTTTCCATTTTGACTGTGTATTTGGAAGAAAGTCTTGGAGTAGGTATAATAATATTTGAATTGGCACAGAATTAGGAAATAAACATAAAAAGCTTTGCAAGAGAAGTAGTGGACATGTCGAATAATTCAGAATTATTTCCCTCTTTCTCCACGCGTTCCTCACTGATGTCGTTCTCTGACGTATCTCTACTTAGCCAAGCACATTTTTAGCCTGTACTCCAGTGGGAAAAGCAAAGGCCTTTCACCTCTCAGCTGGGAGTCCTGTGACTGTCACTGTGACCTTCCCATAACCAGCTGAAAGGAAGGGACTTTGCTTGATTGTAACACTGAGAGACGGGTTGTGTACCTTGGAACCAGTAAGCTGCAGAATTTGCCGCGTTTGCAAAGGGCTTTCTTAGAATTAAAAAGGCCTCTTTTTTATGGCAGTGTTCCTGGGTTGTTGTTTTTTTCCGCTATTACACTTCTGCCTTTATCTCAACCTAATTTTTTTTAGTGTTTGTGGATATGAGAACAAGAGACTTTGGTGTTACATTAAGTGACGATAACTCATTTACTCAGGATGAGGAACAGGTTTAGACTTAGCTCTAAACTAGTTCATTATTCATCATTCAAAGTCTGTATTACTTTGGTTTTTGTTTTTTTTTTTTTGAAACCATGAAAGCTGTGCTCAACAGTGTAGCTGTGTCAGTTGGCTCCATATACTGAGCCAGATGTATAAACTTAGAGACACAGAGAGGTTCCCTAAAATGTGCTAACAGTTGCAGGTATCTTGGAAATCCTCTCACAGATACTGGTTCACAAGATTAGATCACACATGGTTTTAGGGGTTAAAGTGGGCAGTGATGAAAAAAAAGTAAAAACACTGACAGTTTTGTTTCTAATAAGGGCGTCTCATATTAAATCTGGTCTTTCTCAGGACTGAACATTCAGTGTTTTGATCTGATTACAGCAATGGGATCAGACAGCATCTCACTCCTTTAAGAAACTTTATTATGACACAAATTTTAGATTAGCAGCTGGATTATGAAATCAAAAGCTTTTAAACATGATGAGGAACTAGGATCAAAATGTAACACTATTTAATACATTTATAAGAGTTTGGGGGGCAGAAACAAAGATGAGTGTGGGAATATGTAGGAAAACATATACAGCCTCTTGAACTGTCCCCAAGTTGAACTGCTTGTAGCCACCAAAAAAAAACTCGGGTATTTTTTTTTTTTTTTTTGTTGTTGTTGCACTTTTGCATTTTTAGAGCCAAGACATTCTGCATACTCATTCTTCCTTCCTGTCAGGATCCTGCCTACACAGACATATTTTTTTTTGTCCAAGCCTTCCTCTTTTGCAAGAACAACTTTTGGCGTGATATTCTTGTTTTTTCCCTTTGATTGTTTGTGCAGTTCAGCAAGAGCATGTACATGTGCAGTCAGAAGACTGTAAAATTCCTTTTGTGTGGACAGATGACCCGCCATGTTGACTGCAAGAATTAATTGAGATAGAAAGGGAAGAGGATTAAAGCACTACAGCAGTTTATGTCTTGATATCCAAATATGAAGTCTTCTCAGTGAGCTTGTTGTTCCCTTATCACTGTGCACAGCCTGCTGGAAGCTGATTGTTTTTTTTTGTTTGTTTGTTTGTTTTTTAGCATATGAAGGAGGAAATAATAATTCTCAAATTATAAATAGTGGGTAAATAACACAATATTAATAGGATTATTCCATGTAGGTTGTTCTGTAATTGATGCATTACATTTTTATGTATATTTGGTTTACTATCGTACTTAATGACATGAAAAATTTCTTCCTTGCTTTCTGTGGCTGGCTCTCAACATGAAGGCAAGCAGATTTTTGGTCTGCTAGCTCCAAGTGGTTGTTTTGTGGAGGAGTTTTCAGTGACAGCTCCTGTCAAAACAAGCAAAGTGTCTCCAGAGAAGGAGTTAAAGATTCCACATGAAATACTTTCTCTCTATATTAAATGTCTGGATGAGGTTTGGATTGAAAACTGTGCAGCAGGTTCTGTTTTCCTCTTTGGATGGAAGTCGCTGGAATATGATTGAATCCAGTTCACACTTCATTTGTTTGGTCTAAGAAAACAAAAGCAGAGGAAGCACACTGCAGTGGGATGATCAGATGAAATCAGTAGTGAAACTTGATGCTAAAGGTACAGGGTGGTAAATGCTGATTCTTCCAGCGTCTTTCAGCAGTTGTGGTTTTATTTCCTCCATGCAAACACAATGCCTCTGAAGTCACCAAATCACTGTTAGGTGTGCATTTAAAGAAACAAATTCAGCACTCGCTTTATGCTGTTTTTTACATAGTCTTTGTCCTTATGTCTGTCCCCACAGGCCTACAACATCCATGTCAATGGTGTGCTGCACTGTCGGGTACGCTATAGCCAACTTCTTGGCCTCCATGAACAGGTAAGGTTTAAGCCATGTTAATATACCAACCACACTGTCAGTGTGCTTCAAAGCACGTTTTTATGTGTGGTGCTCTGACATAAATGCCATCACATCCACCCATAGTGACCTTTTACTCGTATTTGTGTCATACGGTCGATACGCCAGCCTCCCGTCACTTTAAATCATGACTACGATGCCTTGAAGTCTTTGGCTTCCGCTTTTCCAAGAGTTCCAGCTATTGGCTGTAAATAGACAGTAATATGGGGGAGGTGGGTGGGGGTGTGTGACATGGAAAGAATGTTCTTGGCCTTTCTTACACTTTACCTGCTGGGAAAAGGAATTTAATCTGAAAAAGAAATGTGGTGGGAAAGTGTTGAGTTGTCTGTTCTTGAGAGTTGTTTTGTCTCTGCCTCAGCTGAGCTTTACACACAGCCAGACTGATATTTCAGAGCTGTTAATAGGCAATTAGTGTATTCAGTGTTTCACATGTGTTTTTCTTTCTTGTAAAGATGTGTTTTTAAGTGCTTTGTGCACTAAAATGTATACAACAGCATAAAACATGGCCCTAAAGGAGTGCCCAGTGCCCCTTTTGCTTATACACATTACAAACTAAGAGAGCTAGGGCCAAACTTTACAATCTCCATCCTCAACTCTGTGTTATCATCCTGACAGATGCTGTTGCCTGGCAACAGGGAGTGGGAAAGACACACTCAAATCTTTAAGCATCAACCCCAAAGGGCTTCCTGTGGCATACTCATGACCCCAAAACACTCCACACTTGATTGTGGTGCACACACTCGTCTCAGTTATTGCTCAGAAAATTAGATTTTTTTAAGTGCTTCTCATGTGTTCTCTCCTGTAAGGATTTGCAACACGGCAGAAGCTGTGCTAGATTCAAATCCTGTTTAAAGCAAACAGTAAAAAACAGGACAAGCTCTGCCAAAAATGCTTCGCATGAGCTCACATGTATTTCAGATGTGACAGACTTTTATGAATCTGCAACCTGTGCTCGGTGTGTGTGGCTCTGAAAGCTTATTTGTATGTGTAACCAGTTGCTGCCTCTGGCATACTTAAAATACCACAGGGAAATATGCAGAGGTGAAAATGGCCTCTTTTCCTCTAGCACTCGCTGTGGTCTGCCTTCATCATAGCATACCTGCAGCAATATGCAGGTTAAAAATTAAACCACATAAAAGTGTTTGATTTTTAGATCAGACACCAAATGGTGTAAGACTTCAATGGTTCAAGCCACCAGTGCTCAGATGATAGAAAATGGAAAGAAGTGAGTCAAGAAGCTGGAAGACAAAGTAAACTTGGAATGACTAGACATTCAGCGTTCCAGATGTGTCCGTGTGTGTGTGTGTGTGTGTCTGTGTTTGTTATGCACGGAAACTCCAGCAGCTAGCCGTTGAAACAGTGCTTAAAATAAACCTGTGATTCATCTCAAACAACCTCAATGTACCTCTTAGAAAAATTAATCCACAGCGCTTTAATTCAGAAGACTGCTGTTCTGTAGCAAAGTTATCATTTTTAATAGTTTAAACTTAAATCTCTTTTCAGTAAATTTTGGCTTTGTTAAAATAAGAATGTAGCTAGCAGACTGCTTGAACAAACTCTGTTTTCTCTTAAAACCAGAGAAATACTGGTTTAGCGAGGTTTTGTTTTTTCCAAGACTGCCGACTCTTTGTTCCCTCCGAGCTTCACAACTTGTGGTTTGCATCAACAGATAAAGAAAGAATATGGAAGCAATGTGGTGCCTGCCTTCCCCCCAAAGAAGATCTTCACACTGACCCCTGCTGAGGTCGAACAGAGGAGAGAACAGCTGGAGAAATACATGCAAGCTAGTAAGTTATTCATGCAGAATGGACTTTTCACAGATGGCTTGTATTGTATTTCACTTCATTCAGATGCAGAGTGGTTGTTTAAACCAGTGTTTAAATTAGATAGTGTTTTTTAAGTTGCACACATTCCCCTCTTTAGTAGTGTGTGTATAACGAGCCAGTGTTTTTAAAACAGAATATTTGCAGGACAAACACGGTTTCCTTGAGAGCTTTCCCCACAGCAATCACAAGAACAAGTTTGCTTGGTGTCTGCAGGGAGTCCAAACATACACTGTTCTCTTCATGCCACATAAGTGTGAAAGAACTGTTAATCTGGGCATAGAGTGTCTGAGCAGGGACACTGATACAAAGCCTCAGTTGGGAGTGAAATGTTGACACACCTTATGAATAAAAATATCGAGACCCAGAATCTCAAATCTGAAAGTGTCAGTAATGTAAATATTTTTTTTATTGATTTGAATTTTTTAGTAAAGAGAGGTTTTTGTTTTTTGTTTTTTTGTTTGGTTGGTTTTTTGGAGGAAAAATACCCGGCTTTTGTACCATGAAGAATAATTAAAATCTTGGCATGGTAAGACCAAGTGGAACACCTCGTGACAGTTTTAAAAGCTTATTTAGCATCAGGTCAGTAAACCCATTCAGAGTATTTCAATTCGAGAGGTTTTCGGCATATTACACGTTGTGTAAACAGGTCAAAGGTGAACTATCCAAGTACACACATACACAAATAAGTGCAACTGGCAGCAACATGGAGGGTTGGTTTTAATCCTTTCAAGCACTGGAAGTTACAGCAGAACAAGGGATCATTGTTTGAGTGCATATTTGCTCATAGTCTGGGAGCATACGCATTCAGGGTGTTCTTGGCTACAAGTTCACTAGGTTACATCATGGCTTTTGACATAGTTATGGAAAATAAACTGACGCAAACACAATATGCACTGATGCAGATGGCTCCAAAATTTCCCTTTTTGTCAAGTAGAGTTTGTGAAGTTAGTATACAGGATGACACACACATGCTCACACTTAGTCATATTGTATGTAATGTTAAATGCTCTGCTTTGCCACTGAAAACTGCGTCAGGAATAAATAAGAAGCCAAAGCAAAAGAGAGTTGTTAATTCGGCCTTTTATTTACTAAGTATGGTGTGTTGGAGCTGGTTAGTGGCAGTTAAGATCATTGATCCTTTGCCAGAGGTCAGCCCTTCCTTCATAAAGTTTTTATGCGCTAAGCTAAATTGCCTTTACAAATAACTTGGAAGGTGTGACCTATTTCACAATAGCAAGCTCAAAAAGCAGAAAACTAAGAAATGGGAAGTGGCTCCACCTAAAAACATTGATGTTTATGAGTAACCCCCAAAATTGCATACCAACACCAGTTAGGCATTCATGTAGTTGTGTTACTTTCACTTATTGCTTTACTGTCCTTTGTTTTGTTTTGTTTTTTTTCAGTCCGTCAGGATCCCTTGCTTGGAGCCAGCGAGTTGTTCAACAGTTTCTTAAGGAAGGCCCAACAGGTTGGTGGTTATTTTATATCTAACCTGCATCAAGAGGTTGTCGGTCAATAGGTCTGAAAGGAGCAATGCACCTTATACTAAAATGCTGAGGCAGTGATTTCTGCTTCACTAGTAATTACTTTGACATTGCGGTGAAATGAGGTAGTGCTGTTCTTGCTGTTTGTCTATCGCAGCAGCACACATACACTTTCTTGGATTGTGTCATCTGTACTTGTAAGCTTCTGGTTAGATGTGTCAGATCCAAGACTGGCCTGCATGCTGAAACATGGAAAATGATAACATGAATCATGTAACAAGTCTTTTATTAAACACAGCAACTTAGTTACTGTGTGTCTGTGTGTGTGTGTGTGTGTCTGTGTGAGAGACATCCAGCTCAAAACATGCTTTTTCCATACCAAAAAATCTAAGATGGTTTTCAGTTTAAGCTGATTCTATGTCATTTCAAATGGATGGTGTATTCATAACTTATTCATGACAGGTTGCATCATTTAGTCTGTGACTTGCATTACCTGAGGCTGCAAATCCATTCAGATTCATCCATCTGCAGCCACATCGCACCCATTCTCCTGTTTTGTTTTGTTTTTCTTCCGCCCTCTTCTCCTCTCAGATTAGCACATTAGAGTCAGTGTTTATGTCACTTCTCTCACGTACTGTGAAGAAAGCAGGTCTGGAATAGGAGATGACTTGCCTCCCAGTGTAGGCTTTTCATCTGTGCCTTCTGTGCTCTCAGAGACCCCCTGCTGTGGGAAAAGGGAAGATGATAGATGATTTAGCCAGGAAGACAAGAGAGAGAAGAAGCTGGAGTCATCCAGTTCAAGATTGCACCCGTAATATAAACGATGAGATTATTTAATCATCTTATCATACGTTTTTCTTTTCTTTTTTTTAATGCACACTTGGTTTAATTAGTGTTAGAGGCCTTTTCTTACATAATGATATTGCTTTTACCTTTTTAAGTAAGCATTTTTGTTGAATGGTGCTTTTTTTTTTAAATTGTTTTGTAATGTGTAGTCATATTGTGGCTTTTCTCTTGCAAGTTTGTTATCCAAAACAAAAGACTGCATGTAGCACTATATCCAATAAACATTTCCCTGCTTTTGAATATCTTTATGGGGTTTTTCCTTTTGACTGTCACTTGGACAAAACAAGGCAACACTTTAGTAAAGTTGTGGTAAATAACAGTATGTAGATAACAATCAATTACAAAGAAAATGAGTGTGATCAGTATTGTCCAGTCCCCCAAAAAGTTAGTGAATAATTAAAGGTGATTTTAATAATTAAAAATATTTAATTACTCGTTATTGTGGGCTGTTCATTGCACACGTGCTATTCTTATATGCGTCACTAAATAATTCCCATATGTGAGCCATTGCCTTTGTTCCTTCTCCATTTGAGTTAAACCTTAACATACTTTGAACATCTTTTAAGATTTTATGTCAAAATTGACAGTAAAGATAAAAGTGATCAGACTGAATGGATTAAATTTTGTTTGAAGTGCATCATAAATTTGTGTTTGAGAAAATGTTACAGTGGAGGGTCGTCTATTGTCATGGAAAGGGTTTGGGGGGGGGGGGGGGGGGGGTGTTCCCTTCTAACCAGACAGAGTTTTTCCATCTGTGTGGCTTGGTGTGATTTTTGTTGTTGACTGATGGGAATGAAAACATGTAGCTCACCCAGAAAGTTGAATTCAATCCTTTTGTTTCCTGTTGTTTCCACAGGAGACCCAGCAGATCCCCACAGAAGAGGTTGCAATAGACATCTGCCTCTGTAATGGCCAGAAGGTCACAGTCAACATTCTCACATCATATAAGACGGAAGATGTGCTTGATGTAAGTGCTGGACGTTTAAAGCGAGAGTAAACATGTTTTTACTGTCTCATACAGTACGATGCTTTTTAAGTGCCATGTTTGTTGTAATCTTGCTTAGACAGAAAAATATTTACATGAAAAAACTATAAGTGAATACTGCTGTCAGCTCCATATCTTGATATAGTTAAAAGAAACTAAAGTCTTAAACTTTTATCTGTTTGGTTTCAACTTTTCTTATTAGTTCTGTGTGTTTGGTTGGAGAGCACATGGACAAAATTCAGCCCTGAGGGCTGGAATTGGATGAACTAGATAAGTCTGTGCTGCTATTTGACTCAATTCCAATGCAGTGTGTTTGATCAGTGACCCATGCAGTAGCGTATATACCAGGACACTACCAGAACGTAGCGTATTTTAAATATTTATGTAGGCATCTAGGCAAGTTATAAATATTTTCATTGTAACCGGTGGCCATGTTTTAGTTCAGTTATTTAAAGTGTGGCCCATTGCTTATTTCATTTAAATCGGTATGGCCATCTCTGACCTAGAGGCATTTGAGCTCTTCATAACAGATCTGATAGACACCAGGGATTTGCCTCAGGCAAGCAATATTGCTTTACAATCTCCTGTGAGCTCTGAGGCACTACATACCATAAGTCAAATTAAGCCATGTTTATTTGTATAGCACCTCCTCAGTACAGCAATATTTCACGAAGCACTTTATGAAGTCTGGCCTACTTCAATCAAAACTAAGGAAAACTTGGAACACGACCAAGACAGATGGAAAGAAAACAAATCTAAGCACACTCTAAAGACACTTGATGGCATGATGAAAATACCCAACAGGCCTATTTAAGCTTTCAGGCCATAATCCCAAAAGAGCAATTACAATGTGCCAGTGAAACAAATATACAGTATTATTATCAAACAGCTTTATTATATGTGACTTGTTTTGTTGTTGTTGTTTTATTATTATTTTTAATAATCTGGGCGAAACATGGTGATGTCCAAACCATTCAGTATATGCACTTCACCTGTACTCTTTATTCACCATAAACACACACTAAAGTACACACTCTAACTCATCCCAGTAAACATGGCGATGCCTCAGTGGCGTGCACTTTGTCGATCTTGGCTGTAAATCAAACTTGTTCGAGTCTCTTATGAAAGTTTAACCACAGTTAACCTCTGATCAGAACAGCAGCTGTCAGAGCACACAGATGGTGTATATTTTAGTCAGGGTTTCTGCCTCAATGTTGTATTGCTTAATTATTTTACTAACTAAAATGCTAGATTTTTGTTTGTTTGTTTGTTTGTTTTGTCTCAGCAGTTCAAAAACTCTACCAGTGGTTTGCATTTGGGTTTGTTTACAGTTAAATTATGAGAATTACAACTTCAAATCCAGAAATGTGTAAAATGTAAATAAAAAAAATCTCATAAACCCACATTTTATTCACACAAGAGCACAGAAAACAAATCTGATTTTAAACTGGGGCATATTGTTTTATTTGAATTACCCATCTGCTAAGAACCACATCTACAAATTGCAGAACAATGTTAGAATAATGTTCCTTAATGTAACTTTGTGAAGACTTTGAATATCTCATCATCTGCAGTATATAATATCAAAAGATTTTAAGAATCTGGAGATTCTGGGGCAAAGCTCAATTAAAATAGACTGAATCCAAGTGGGAAACTGTTCTGTGGTCAGATGAAGAAAAAAAAAAAGTAAAGTTCTTTTTTTGGAAAACACAGATGTTCTGGGTTAAAGATGAGACACCATCTGGCTTGTTATCAAGCGTTAGTTGAAAAGCATTCATCTTTGATGGCGTGGAGGTGAATCAGTGCCTTTGGAATTGGCAGCTCTCAAATTGGGAAAAGCACCATTAATGCTGAAAGGTATAAACGGGTTATAGAACAACATATGCTCCCATCCAGATGCCCTTTTCAAGGAAGCTCTTGTATTTCAGTAAATATGTCAGCAATACTAAACTGCTTTGTGGAGTTCAGCAAAAATTCCATCACACCTGATGCCAAAAACATTAAAGGTCAAACTGTGGAATGTGAGCAGTTTTATCTATTTCATAGATCTTTTATTGAGTCAGTTTAATCTTCTTTCTTTGGTGTCATGATACGGTAACCTGTCTTTGAAGAACAGGAACAAACTGATGCAGTCAAACTAGTCAGAGAAGCTGATTGGCAAATTGCAGTTTAACCTAGTTAAACTATTTATATCAAACAGTTGCAGAAGATGACCATTAAGCAATCAGCCAAACAATGACTCCCACCCCTTAGTAATTTCAGGTTTGCAGTCTCAAAGCATTACAGAAATGGCTTTGTCCCAGCTGCTATTAATCATCTGAATAAGCTATAGCAAATTGTCAACATAAGTATACTATTTATTTATTTTTAATGGAAATCTATTTTTTTTTCTATTGTTTTTATCTCTTTGGTTTTTTTAGTGTAGTATTTTTAATCTCCTCTTTTTTAACCTTCTGAAAAATAAAGCTCTGATGAAACGATTGATTGAATGTCACTGAAATTAAATGTTATTGTTTCTGCAGGCTGTTGCGACAAAGCTTGACCTCCCAGATGACCTTGTTGGTTACTTCAGTCTTTTCCTGGTTCGTGAAGGTGTGGATGGAAGTTTATCATGTAAGTTCAAAATCATAAAAACAGAGCCATAAAAGCAACTTGAACTTGTGCAGCATCCTCCCGTTTCTGTTATTGCCGGAAAGTTTTCTTTTGCCTGCTACATAAGCTGCAGAAATGTTCCCTGATAAGAATTGTAAAGTAAAGTAAATTGTAGCAAAAATCCTTTTGAGCTGAAAGTGTAGTTTGCCAGCAAATGTTTTAAGGATTATCTCTCCAGCTAACAAGATCCATAAAAAAGAGCCATCATTTATTACTGCAGATTATTTATGTTCTAGCTGGAATTCATTTCTCAGTAACCAAAAGAGACGATTCTCAGAAGACACAAATCACACAGAAATAAATGAAAGTAGGATTTTGGTGTACACACTTAAACTTTCATTAAGAATTGCTAGAGAGTAGATTCCTGTGGAACCGCAGGGAATTTTATTCTGGCAACAAGAATACGGCTGAGTGTGTTTGTCTCTCTGTTCTGAGAAATACTTCAGTTTAGTTGAGGAAAAAAGAAAAGCTGTGTATCGCCTCTAGAGGGTTTATCTTGAATCCAAATTCTGCTGTATTTCTAAGTCTCTAACTAGAATGTATAATTAATTTTTTGGGGGGTGTTCTGACTCCCAGTGAGAGTCAGCTGTTTGCTGGCTGGTGCATGCAAAACATTTTGTAGTGCTGGAGTGTGAGTGCGCACAACATCCTCTTTGCAGTGTTCTCGGCTGAAATGCATGTTGTGGTTTACCAACAGTTCCAGAGTGGTACCACATTTACAGGCGTCTGATTAGTAAAGTTATTGTTTTTCCAGACTGCAAGAGGAGTGTTGACTTCCAGCACATTATAAATGTGTTTTTTAAAAACAGTACGCTGTAAATGGAAATACACAATGATACTGTTTCAAGTCAGGGCAAAATAATTTTTTTGCCCATGTACATTTTGTGAAGACTCTATAGCAGTTAGCATGTGGTTTGTCCATTGTCTTTTTGTTGTCAATGTTACTTACAGGACCCCCGCAAAAGACCAAATGGCCACATCTCATGTGGGTCAGTTTCACTTGACGCACATCATTGCAAAGTATTAGCATTCACATTCATGTATACCCCAGTGACAGAGGAAGAGAGCCCTTTTAGGTCAAACCTCTCCACAGTCTGAGATTCTCATGGTTTCCACCTGCCACATGCTCGCCTCACAGACCATCGATACCAGGCTAGAAGTGAACCCAGATGAACTCAGAGGGGTCTGTATATTTTGCAGACGTGTTGTTCATCCTGCCATTTAAATCTGAGGCTGAGTGATATGAAAAAGAAGAGGCATGTGCTAAATATGGCTAACTACGCAGCAGGTCATTGATCAAGCAGAACTGATGGTGGGATGATTGACATAACAGGATAATGAGAAAAATTCAGGCAGTAATTTCCCTGAGGTCGGTGTGTTAGTCAGGATATAATATAAAATTTTACGGACATGTTGACAAGAGCCAGGATGTGGTTTGAATTAGTGCTGCTCTCATTTGCTTTTTGTGGCATTTTTAGCTTTCCGGAGATGATTTATTTTGCTTAAAAATGTCCCATTACATGTTAAGTATTGAGTTTGTTTCTCTTTATGCCAGATAATTTTCAACATCAAAGTAACTACTCTGTGTTTCTGTTTTCAGTACACAGCCCCTCTGCCCATAAAAAAGACAGAATACACTTTTATAAACCTAATGGTAAACTAAAGGGCTCTTTAGTCATCTGATTTGTGTGTATTTGTGTGTGTGCACTAAGCACATTTATTGATGGGTGAAAACAAAGTAGCAGCAGCAACGACCTTCAGTCTGCTTCACTCTCCTTAGGGAACTGACTGCAATAAAACAGCTGCAGATTCTGGGTGCATGTACACAAGAGCCCTTTTAAAAAAGTATTGTCACACACACACACACACACACACACACACATTTTACCACAAGTTTTATCCTGCTGGGGCCTGCACAGATGGTGTCTTCCCCGTTGTAGACATTGTTATCCATGTCTACCTGTTATCCATGGTACCTGAGCTACATTTATGACAAATTCTGCTTTTTTTTCCCTCTTTCAGTTGTGCGGAAGTTGCAAGAATTTGAGCTGCCCTATGTATCCATTACCAGCTCGCGGAGCTCAGAATTTCACATAGTCTTACGGAAAAGGTATGTACCTCCTCTTGTTCACATTCTGAGTATGAATCTGATCATGTCTTGTTTTCTTTATCTGTGGTAAAGCTCTTGGTGTAGACATGTCAAAAGAGAAAATTAAAGATGAGCTGCTAGAAAGGTTGCCTTTTTTGTTGTCAGGGAGAATGATGATCATGACCATGACCTGTAAGTGCGTTTGGGCCAGAAAATGTAATGAAATGACAATGAATTCTACATCTACTTAAATTTCACCACTTTGCAGTTTGTCTTTGCAGTAGGTATTCCTTACAGCTACAGCGTCTACAACAATCAGTTGCACTGATCCAACAAGTTAATCTTTGAACCAGAACTTAACCAACACATTAAAGGACAAAATAACTGCAAACAAATTTATATTATATTTTATCGTGCTATAGATTTCTTTCCATTCTTTTACCCATGGTGCAGAATGCCTGTTGCAATTTCTAACATCTTCGTTACCAATTAACTGGATAACCAGAGTTCTGATAAATCATTTACTCTGAGGTTTAAACTTGTTCTCGGGGTTCATCGATCACCAGCTTTCACTTTTTTATTTACACAAAACTTAGCCTGAAAATAAACAAATAGATTCAAACATTTTATATAATTGAACTTCTCACCTCACGAAAGTCGCATTTCCAACAGACTGTTGTGCTGCATCAGTGTTTTGTTTTGTTTTTTTCGGGTTTATAACTTATTTGACTGGGTCAGGGTTCAATAAACATCAGATGAAACTAAATGTCAGCACAAGAAATGCATCAACAGTGTTTTTTGCTGCAGACATCTGTATTACTTTTCAATTAACAGAAAAACCAACTGAGTCTGAGCTGTTGGTGTGGAGAACAGTGCACCAGGAATTGCATGTGTCACAAAAACGGGGGAAGTCTTAATGTTGTTCTATTTGAGAGGAACAGCTAAATAAACTAGAAGATACTAACTGCTCATTCAGTTTCAAGCCTACAGTCCAGTCCGCTGTTTTGTCCGCTTTTTGTCAAGATAACTTTTATCTGCTTCCTCCTTTTTCTTTTCCTTCATTATTCTGCCTCCTGTGGACTCTGGAGGTACACAGGATGTTTACTTTCTTTCTGCCTTAAGGAAAGTCTCAGTTCTGCTGACCTAGTTTCGCTGTGGAGTGTAGAAGAGTGAGGGGAGGAATAAACGTAGAACTAACAAGTGGCGGTGGAGAAAAAACAGACCCCCAGTGTATGAGATCCAGACGAAGAGGGAGAATGTAGGGAGGAAAACCACTGAAAACCTAAAATGTATGATGCAGTTCTCTATTGCCAAGCTTTATTCAAAGCATCCACAAAATGAAAACAGGATTATGAAAAACAGTCAAGGTTAGTGAGCGGTACAATATAGTTTATATACTAGTAAGATTGTAGCTTTATGGTATTTTCAGTCTTTGTATGCGGTAAAGAAGATCCAGGAGGTGGTTTGAACCAGTCCAACAAGCAAAACTATTTCTCTCAACAGGGTCTTTAAGTGCACTTTCCATTACATCTGATGAGACAAAATAAAAGGACTCCAACCAAACACAGTGCTTCTGATTCCACCACCCATACTCTCTTGCTCCCTTTCACCGCCCTACGTTTCACTGGTCGTTTTTGAATTGCGGATGTGGCCAAGTTCCTTTACATTTCCTGAAACAACTGCTCTATTCAACTGCTCCTAATAGCACCCCAGTCAAGCGCCTACATGTTAAATTTCACACCTTTGCGCTAAACTGTTGGGAAACATGAGCACAAGGAGAATTTTATTTAAGAACAACCGTAAATACAAAATGTAACTGGGGCAGGAAAAATGCCTCAGTTGTGGTGTAAAGAAAGTGTTTGCTTAAGACATTTCACAACCAGCAGTGAGGAAGTGATACATCTAAATTGTATACTGTTGTGCTGGGTGTTTTTTTTAAAAAATAGACCCAGATCTGATTCGTCTGTCTCAGTCAGATAGAATTTTTTGAATTTCTTTTTCAACATCATGTTCTGATTCTCAAGCTGGCCTCGGGCTCCCACACATCTCTTTGCACAAACGTACAAGCAGTACTTCTAATATTGCCACAGTGCTGTGTGGAAATTATACCATTTCACTCACATCCTTTCAAACTCAGCTGCAAATAATTCTTGAGGTGAATGTTTGCATGCCTTACTCACTGACTGAGCTGATTTCTCCATAGGTCACTCATTTCATGGATGGAGTTTGACTGTACACTGGACAGTTTTTGAGAGACGTCTCCATTGCCTTGTATTGATAAATACATAGTTCATAGAAATAGGTTTGTTAAGGGGTTAATGCATTGTATTGCATTGCATTGCTTGCTCCATGGTACAAAGTCCATGTGATGTGAATAGGGCTTATAGTAGACAGTGAATTGATGGCTAGCAGTCTTTTGTTCTCTGTCCTGCTCCTTGCGCGTTTAGTTTATGGTATCAGTCTGATCTGAAACAAATAGTAGCATTATCAGTAGTAAGAATGCAGCTGACTCCTTTCTGCTGCATGTACATGCATGTTAGAAAAGACCAACTATTTAAAAGCAGACATTTTGGCAGTTGACTGGTCTGGAGCATTCAGGTGTGTTAACACAATGCCCTAATCTTCCCAGGAGTGTACATCCCAGC